TCCTGCCATCCAGAGGCACCAGCCCCGAAGGGATTTGGGAAATCACCACCACCCCGTGCTGGGTGTGTCCCCAGGGCTCAAGGTGTCCCATGCTTTGCAGGCAAGAGCTCCCTGAAAACACCATGAAACTCATCTGCTGAGCCAAAGGAGATGGAGTTCATTCCCTAGGGCTGGGACAATGAGGGTCATTCCATGGGGAACAGAGCTGGGGAACAGCACTGAGCCCAGCTGCACTGCTTGGGTCCATGTGGATGCAGGAGGGAGGAGGAAAGCCATGCTCCAATGTGCTCCCTGCAGAGCATCTCACAACAATCGCTCAAGGCAATGTTCCTGCTCTCTTCTCCTGCAGGAATACACCACCACGGGGAGGGTGATCCTGTGGATATTTATTCAGCAGGTGACTCAAGGAAACCTGAGGTCCTTCAGCAGAGCAGTGGAAGGGATCAGCAGGCTCAGAACCCTGTGTCCCTGGTGTCATCATCGCTGTGATCAGTTTTTTCTTTCTGCTCCTCAAAGACTCTCTGAAGGGAGAGACGGAGGGACCCCACTGTACAGAGCCTCCAGCGACTTGTCCTGGAGCAGGGTCTCATGCACCTCCCTGCCAAGAAGTAGATGAAGGGTTTGATGCTGCTGTTGATGCAGGTGAGCAGGAAAACCACCTGGGAGGACACAGCGATGTAACCGAGCTGCTGCAGGAAATGGCAGAGGCTGCGGAGGGGAGGGAGGAGCAGAGTGAGGATGATAACGATGTCGCGCCTCTTGGGTTGCTGCTGCTGGGAGCCCCACTTGGCCTTAATCAAGTCAATTGTGCTGGAAATGACCACGGGTGCAACAAAGAAGAGCAGGATGATGGCGTACATGGAGATGAGAGGCGCACGGCAGTGTTCCTGCTCATGTGATGGGCACAGGAATGTCACTGCAGGAATTACAGCAAAGAGAGCAAAGAAGGCACAGGACTGGACACTTCCCACAACCAACCACATGCGCTCCGGAAGGTCATAGGGGCAGCAGAGCTGGAAGAGGTTGCGCACATAAAGCACAGTGATACTGCGTATCAGTCGGAACAGCCCCCAGTAGTAGGAGACCACTGACATCCGGAAAAGGAAACTCAGGTGCAGCATGGGCATGATATGAGTGCAGGACATGTCCTCCACCAGGAAGAGGAGGGCAGAGAGGACTGTGAAGAGCAGGAAGAGGAAGTCGGAGACGGCCAAGTCAAAGATGCCAGAGTTACAATTTTTCAGGTTGAGGAGGCCGATGACAGCTCCGTTCCCTGCCAGCCCACAGAGGCAGATGAGCAGAGTCACACTGTGCATGGCCACATTGGTGGCATCTGTCTCACAAAGATAGTCCCCTTCAGTGGGTGAGACGGGAGATGGGAACACGGTGGTCCCCTCCATGGATGGACGCTGGGCAGGCAGTGGGATGTGGCCCCTGGCTGTGGTCAGAGTGGATGGGCAGTCAGTGCTTGGAAAATCCCAGGATGGACCATGTGGCTCATCAGCAGCTCCCTGCAGTGGAAACAGTGGGGAGGAGTGAGATGTGCAGGGGAGGAGGGCAGCAGAAATTGTGTGGTAGGAGAGGGAGGCAGTAAGATTGGGCTGTTCCACAGGGGATGTGAAAGGGAAGCTCAGGGCAGAGGAGGGGGAGCTGGGGAGGGCACTGTGGTCACCGGGAGAGGGTGGCAGGAACAGAGCCGCTGCTGCAGGAGAGGAAGGTGGGGTAGGGAGGAAGGAAACCATTCCACTGACCTGTTCCCTGTGGGGCAGCAGCAGGCAAAGGGGTCTGTGCAGATCAGCGGCGCTTCCTGGTACCTCTTGCTGCTTTGGGATCCGTGTCCTAAAGCGGCTCCTGCCAGGTCAGTGACATGAAGGAGAAAGTGCCCAGATCACCAGGAGCTCCCCATTCCCATCCTGCGGCCCCTCTCTGTGTGCCCTGGCCTGGTTTTGCTCCCCAGTGCTCAGTGGAGTCACAGAGGAGTGGGAAATTGCGTCTTTGGCTATATCAGAATGTCGCTTCCTCCAAGATACTTATCTTGGGCTTTTCTGCTACAGCAGAATTAGGTTTTGTCAAAAGCTCCTAAAGAAATATTTTGATGATGGTTTATTTCTTCCTGATGAGAAACATTCCTTCCCTGCTGAATTTTCCATAGTGTGACTGCCTTCCCTCTCCTGACAGGCTTTTACCATTCCTAATTTCTCATCCCTGGTCACAGTGGTCACAGTCATCATAAAACAGAGCCATAAAATATCCAGAGTTGGAAGGGAGCCACAAGGACCATGGAGTTCAGCTCCTGGCCCTGCACAGGACATCCCAACAATCCCAGCCTGTGCCTGGGAGCATTGTGCAAATGCTCCTTGAGCTCTGTCAGGCTGGTGCTGTGTGCAGCAGGGGAACTCCTGCCTGGGTGGATGCTGAATGACCTGAGGAATCCTCATGGAATGGGTTGGGTTGGAAGGAACCTTAGAGATCACCTCATTCCATCTCTCCTTCTGCCATGGGCAGGGAGAGCCAGGAAACCTCTTGCTTTGAAATCTTTGCCTTTTGAAAGGAAGCTCAGGTAAGGAGTGGCCTGGGTGACACAGGAGACAAGGAAGGTGCTTGGAAGTAGAAAAAGTCCATTGGAGGATCCTGATCCTTCTGCACTTGCCTTGGGAGAAACCGCTAGGCTGAACTGTCGTTCCCTGGATAAGAGGTTGCACCGTGGAAGGTTCCTGCTCTCCACTGGGCAGGAAAATTGAAGACAGGGAGCGAAAAACCCTCTCAGGTGTCAAAGTCTCTCTCCTGTTAATTATAAACAACTCCTTAGGAGTTATAAATGTGTATGAGCATTATAAATGCTCCTTAGGTGTTTAAATTCAGGTGTATCTCCAAAGCCTGACTCCACCCAGAGCTTTCACTCTCACTTCCCCTTCCAGAAGCAGTGGCACGTTAGCCCTTAGGAAGGGCACTGGTATGAGACTGGATTGGCAGTGGCACGTTGCTTTCCCCTGGATTTAAGGCAGTGGGAAAAGGAGGGACAACTTCCCCCTGAGCAAGAGATGTGGCTGCTGCCCAGGTCTCTCCCAGGAGGCATGAGGAGCTCTTGGCACTGCCAACATCATCCCAACCATTGCAGGCACGTGCCTTAGGAAGGGCTCTGGTATGAGACAGGCACCTGCCCTGCTCACAGACAAGCCAGAGGCTTTAGAATGGGATAAAATAAGGAAATGAGCCATTTTCGACGCTGTTCAGCAGGCACAGGGTCTGCAGTGGTGCCTGGTTTTTGTTTATTCAACAAATTCTGCGATCAGTTGTAGCACTTGGAACAAAGCAAAACGTACCCTCTCATGTATCCAAAGGAGGTCACGTTATTGTAAAAATTGGCTGATGTTTATACCTTTAATCTCAACCTGACATAATGGAAACCATACCAAAGCCTAACAGAACTTAAAGGAAGGAGGGCACCCATTGGCTGGCTCAGCTGCAGTGCTGCTGTAAACGTGTCCTCCCATACAATCAGTTTCATGCTCATAACCTGTCCACCAAAGATCAGCACAGCCTGGCCTGTGGCTGAAGCTGCTGTGCAGTCGCTGTTCAGCTCCTCCTGAGGGTGGCCAGGTCCAGGATGGAGCTGGTCAAGGGCTTCCCTGGACACTGATGCTGGGGAACCAGAGGATGGATGGCCCCGTTCTGCAGAAGAGCAGCAGAACCCCCTAATTTCTGTGCAATTAAATGGTCCAAGCATCTGGTGATGGGAATTTCCACACTCCGTGTACTTTCTGGTACAGGCACAGGAGTTCAGAGGAGTTCCCAGTCAGCCCTGCACTTTACTCAGAAGCATTAAATTCTGGAATTAAAGAATTTGACAACTTCCCACTGAAAGGACAAGAGAATGTTGCTGTCCCTCCCCAGCTCTGCAGCCCTACCTAGTGTCCCTTCCCATCCACTGGGAATGCAGGGCTGGTTTTGCCCCTGCCCTGTGTTGACTATATGAAGTTTATGTCCCCAGTCGTCTGTTCTGTTTATGCAGAATAACAAGTTTTGCACCTTTAAGACTTGTTCCGAGAATGAAGCGGGGAGAGAAGATGCGCACAGTTTGTTTTCAGACACTGAATTCACTCCTCCACATTCCTTGTCCTGGACTGTGTTGTCTGCTGATGGACAGACAGCAGGACAGAGTTCTCCTTTGTTTTTACTTAGTTTTAGGTAGCTGAGGCAAAGAAGTTCTCTGGACTGAGATTTTTCCCCCTCCCTTTTCTTTGGACCTGTTTTAACTTGTTCTGGACTGAACACCCACAAGAGCACTGGCAGCTCCACCTGTGGCCACTGGGCCGGGTCTGGGCCCCGGCATTTCCAGCACCGGAGGGACTGATCAGAGACTGAGTGAGCTGAGCTGCAACCCAGGGAGGAGACTTTTCTGAGTTTGTCATCTCTTTCGGAGCAGCAAGAGGTGTCATTGTTTAATATTGTTTTGGTTTTATTGTTTAATAAACACTTTTTTCCACTTTTCTCCAAGGAGGTATTTTTCCCAAACCAGTTGCGGGAGGGGCCAAATGAATCTTCTTTTCTAGAGGAACCCCTTCGGAGATTCTCTGCCAAATTTGCAATGAACAGGACAGCCGGACAGAAAGGGAAGGATGCTGCGTGTGATCCCGACCCCTCTCCTGCCATCCAGAGGCACCAGCCCCGCAGGGATTTGGGAAATCACCACCACCCCCTGCTGGGTGTGTCCCCAGGGATTAAGGTGTCCCATGCTTTGTTTTATTAATCAGGTTACTCAAGGAAACCCTCAGCCTCTGTGCTGACGTCCTTCAGCAGAGCAGTGGAAGGGATCAGCAGGCTCAGATCCCCATGTCCCTGAGGGCATCATCGCTGTGATCAGTTTTTTCTTTCTGCTCCTCAAAGACTCTCTGAAGGGAGAGACGGAGGGACCCCACTCTACAGAGCCTCCAGCAGCTCGCCATGGAGCAGGGCCTCCAGGAGCTCCCTGCCAAGAAGTAGATGAAGGGTTTGATGCTGCTGTTGACGCAGGTGAGCAGGAAAACCACCTGGGAGGACACAAGGATGTAGCTGAGCTGCTGCAGGAAATTGCAGAGGCTGAGGAGGAGAGTGAGGAGCACAGTGAGGAAGATAACGATGTCACGCCTCTTGGGTTGCTGCTGCTGGGAGCCCCACTTGGCCTTAATGAAATCGATTGTGCTGGAAATGACCACGGGTGCAGCAAAGAGGAGCAGGATGAGGCTGAACACGGAGATGAAAGCTGCCCGGCAGCGCTCCTGCTCGTATGATGGGCACAGGAATGTTACCGTGGGAATGACAGTGAAGAGAGCAAAGAAGGTATAGGATTTCACACTGTTTGCCACCAACCACATGCGCTCGGGAGGGCCCCAGTGGCAGCACAACTTCCATATCTTGTACATATAACGCACGGGGCTGTTGACCATCAGCCAGAACAGTGCCCAGTAGTAAGAGACCACTGACAGCTCAAAAAAAAACTGCACGTACAGCCTGGGCATGACAGGAGAGCAGGACACATCCTCCACCAGGAAGGCGAGGGCAGAGAGAACTGTGAAGAGAAGGAAGAGGAAGTCGGCAGCTGGTTTGCAGGGGATTGATAAATAAGTGAGAATAAACATTTTCACCTCCCCTGAAGTTGCTTAAAGACTAACAGTGCAGAAATATAAAAGGATGTAAAGCTGTGGACACAGGATGAGAAATGTGGCTGGAAGCACTGGGGACAGCAATAAGGAAGCCCACAGTATTTTGGGGCAAGTTCTGTAACAAGAAGCAAGAACACATGGCCAAAAGAAAAGTTCACGGCAAGATTATCTTTAATATCAAAGCACTCAGAGAATACAACCACCAGAGACTCCTCTGAATGATCCTCCAGGGCCATCAAAGGACATTCAGTGGAAAGTGGGTGAATGGAAATGAGTTCTAGGAAAAGGGTGCTTATGTACTAGACAAGAACAATTTTTTAATGTCTACGTATGGTTATAGTGGATAAAAACACTGTTGTACTCCTCTGAATGATCCTCCAGGGACATCAAAGGACATTCAGTGGAAAGTGGGTGAATGGAAAAGAGTGATAGGAAAAGGGTGCTTATGTACTAGACAAGAACAATTTTTTAATGTCTACGTGTGGTTATAGTGGATAAAAACACTGTTGTAAAGTCTCGCAACACACACAGAAATAAGGAGAGATCCTTCTGCATGTCCTGCTGCCTAATACTTCCCTTAGTAACACCATTAGTTGGTGTTAGGATTCTGTCTGATTTTGGAATCACTCCTCATCCATCCCATCCCATCCCATCCCATCCCATCCCATCCCATCCCATCCCATCCCATCCCGATGATTTCCTAGTCAGAGGCCACTCCCTGGCTGCACCTGTGGCCTGTTGGGCTCTGCTGCTGTCCAGCGGGAGATTTGGGATTGGTGGCACCAGAGCCCTCCTGCCCCCTCCAGCCCCTGTCTGCCTGATGCCTTGGGGTGGCTCCCAGGAACAGAGGCTAGATAAGGGGAAGAGAATAAAAGCAGGCATTTCTGAAAGGCCTTCAAAAGGTTCACCTTGGGCAGTCAAAGTCTCCGAGAGGGGCTACACCCAAAATGGACAATGGTCACGAGTTTTTCAGGCAGATATAAGTTTGGCCCATTTACAAACCAGGGGTTAATCCTCCACTTACAGCTGCAGGTAATGAAGTCATTTACACCCCATTTGCCCTCCCCCAATTCACTTTTGTCTTGACTTTTCCAGCCTCAGTCAGCAGAGCGTCCTTGACTTTCAGGCCTAGAGCAGTTGGTTTGTCTGACCAAAACGTGAAGACAGTTAACTAACACTTTACATGGAGTTTAGAGTTATGGACTAATGCAGTACAGGACTTGAAAAATAGAAAGGCTAAAATCCTAAGGCATCTTGCCCCCCTCAACATCGCCTCTGACATCCTCTAGAAATTTCCCCCAGGCTGCCTTCCCCTGCAGACATCCCTGCTCCTCTCCTGCCCCACATGGGATCCCCAGCAGTGCTTCCACTCCTCCTGGCAATTCCATGCTTCTCTGCACCAATGAATGACAGTGGAGCCATCCCTCTACTGCCTCTTGTTTCTCTCCAAAGGAGTTTGGGGGGCTGGACACCAGGGATGAAGCTGGGGAGGAGCAAATCCAAGAGAAGCACTGCCCCAAAGCCTTACAGGGCAGCCTGGGGTGAGTAGCCCCTGGGGAGGGACTGGAGCCTCAGGCACGGGGCTGGGAGGGATGGGAAGGACGGGAGCTGGGTGGGCTGCATGGGGAGTGGGATGGGAGGTTGGTGTGGGAGGTGTGGGACACGATGGAGCTGGTGGGGAGATGTGGTGGGAAGGTGTGGGATGTAGTGGGGGTGGAGAGAAGGTGTGGGATGTGGTGGGGCTGGTGACCTCAGCAAAGCCCCAGCGAGGTGGGTGATGCCCTGCAGAGCCCATGGTGACAAACACAGGTGTCACCCTGCTCCTGGAAGGGGGTGGCCATGCTGAGGACCACGACCTCCTCCTCTCCTTGCTGCTGCACCATCTGAGCCTGCTGAGGGAGCAGCTGAAGGCCGTGGAGAGGAAGAATTTCTGAAGGCAGAGAGATCTTTGCACCTGGCTCACAAAATTAAAAATTAAATATCTCTGGGGACATCTCTGCTGTGACACTCACAGAGCACTCGGGGTGGGCAATGCTGAGCCCCTGAGCCATCGTGTCCGTGCCACTGTGCCGCTGCCAGCCCAGCTCTGGGCACTGGGGACCATGGCTGCTCCAGGGAGCACAAGCCCTGTGTGTGTCCCCTCTGACACCAAGACATTTAAGTCTTACAGCAAAAGCGTGTTAGACTAATAAAAATTTTGAGTCAAAATTGTGAACATATTGTAAATATATTTGCCATAGAATCCCATCCCATCCCATCCCATCCCATCCCATCCCATCCCATCCCATCCCATCCCATCCCATCCCATCCCATCCCATCCCATCCCATCCCATCCCATCCCATCCCATCCCATCCCAACGGTTTCCCAGTCAGAGGCCACTCCCTGGCTGCACGTGTGGCCTGTTGGGCTCTGCTGCTGTCCAGCGGGAGATTTGGGATTGGTGGCACCAGAGCCCTCCTGCCCCCTCCAGCCCCTGTCTGCCTGATGCCTTGGGGTGGCTCCCAGGAACAGAGGCTAGATAAGGGGAAGAGAATAAAAGCAGGCATTTCTGAAAGGCCTTCAAAAGGTTCACCTTGGGCAGTCAAAGTCTCCGAGAGGGGCTACACCCAAAATGGACAATGGTCACGAGTTTTTCAGGCAGATATAAGTTTGGCCCATTTACAAACCAGGGGTTAATCCTCCAATTACAGCTGCAGGTAATGAAGTCATTTACCCCCCATTTGCCCTCCCCCAATTCACTTTTGTCTTGACTTTCCAGCCTCAGTCAGCAGACTGTCCTTGAATTTCTGGCATAGAGGGATTGGTTTGTCTGACCAAAAGGTGAAGACAGTTAACTAACACTTTACATGGAGTTTAGAGTTATGGACTAATGCAGTACAGGATTTGAAAAATAGAAAGGCTAAAATCCTAAGGCATCATGCCCCCCTCTGGCATCCTCTAGAAATTCCCCCCAGGCTGCCTTCCCCTCCAGACATCCCTGCTCCTCTCCTGCCCCACATGGGATCCCCAGCAGTGCTTCCACTCCTCCTGGCAATTCCATGCTTCTCTGCCCCAATAACACCGGTGGAGCCATCCCTCTACTGCCTCTTGTTTCTCTCCAAAGGAGTTTGGGGGGCTGGACACCAGGGATGAAGCTGGGGAGGAGCAAATCCAAGAGAAGCACTGCCCCAAAGCCTTACAGGGCAGCCTGGGGTGAGTAGCCCCTGGGGAGGGACTGGAGCCTCAGGCACGGGGCTGGGAGGGATGGGAAGGACGGGAGTGGGTGGGCTGCATGGGGAGTGGGATGGGAGGTTGTTGTGGGAGGTGTGGGACATGATGGAGCTGGTGGGGAGATGTGGTGGGAAGGTGTGGGATGTGGTGGGGCTGGAGAAAAGCTGTGGGATATGGTGTGGCTGGTGACCTCAGCAATGCCCCAGGGAGGCAGGTGGTGCCCCACAGTGCCTGTGGTGACAAACACAGGTGTCACCTTGCTCCTGGAAGGGGGTGGCCATGCTGAGGACCACGACCTCCTCCTCTCCTTGCTGCTGCACCATCTGAGCCTGCTGAGGGAGCAGCTGAAGGCCGTGGAGAGGAAGAATTTCTGAAGGCAGAGAGATCTTTGCACCTGGCTCACAAAATTAAAAATTAAATATCTCTGGGGACATCTCTGCTGTGACACTCACAGAGCACTCGGGGTGGGCAATGCTGAGCCCCTGAGCCATCGTGTCCGTGCCACTGTGCCGCTGCCAGCCCAGCTCTGGGCACTGGGGACCATGGCTGCTCCAGGGAGCACAAGCCCTGTGTGTGTCCCCTCTGACACCAAGACATTTAAGTCTTACAGCAAAAGCGTGTTAGACTAATAAAAATTTTGAGTCAAAATTGTGAACATATTGTAAATATATTTGCCATAGACAGGTTCAAAGAAACAACACTTTTCAGGCATTTTTATGCACTATCGTATCCAAGATTTCTTATAAATATTCCCAAAAGTGCTCGCAATTTCTTACATCATGGTATAGGTGCATTGTTTCTTTTAATTACTACCAGAATATTCTGTCTATTGTAGTTGAATGGATAACCTGGGTTTTTTTCCAGTAAACAATGTTTTATTAAATTTGATGTCTTGGTTAGACAATTCCCACTGATTAAGTTTTCTGTGGTTTACAAGCTTAGGAAATGGCTCTTTTATTGCCATTGCAATTTATCTCTTGCAATTTTTTAATCACATCTTTTGGTATGTATAGACCTCTGAATTCCTAATTCTCTCAAGATATCATTCTTATTCTATGACCTCCAATTATTTCTAGTTATATGATAACCATTAAAAATACTTTATTGAATTTTGTTCTCCAACTATTGATTAAGTTCTCTAAGGGGTATGGGTCGATAGAGTTTTCTACTGACACTCAGCCAACACGGATCTAAATCAAAACCAGCTAAAAAACCACAGGCAAATATGCCTTGACTAATTAAACATAGTTCATTATGAAATTTCTAAACAATCACAAAATTCCTTTGGCTAACTAACACTCTGTCCCCTCCCTCCAGCCACATTCCCGGCTGGCAGCAGGAGCCAGAGGAAGCTGGGAGGCACTGGCAGAGGGGGCGAAAGCAGCTCAGGGTTCACGGTGCTGTTTATTGATGTCACACCCCATTGGAATGCAGGAACCAGGTGCACGCGTGGCAGGGGGAATTTTGGGATCACAGTCTTGTTGGTAAGGATGCATTTGGGGAACAGTGCTCTAAGAAGTGTGAAGGAGGATCAAAGCTCCAATCATCCCCCAGTGTGCTCAGTGTAGAGCATGCCTTCCACATGGCCCTTGGCAAATGCCCCTGCTTCCTTTTCCTGCAGGAATATAGAGGAGGAGGGTGACACCATGGATATTTAGTAATCTGGAGGCTCAAGGAAACCCTCAGCCACTGCCCCATGCTCCTGCATCGGGGCAGTTGAAGGGTTCAGCAGGCTCAGACCCCCGTGTCCCTGGTGGCATCATTACTGGGAACAGTGCTTCCTTCTGGCTCCTCACAGACCTCCTGCAGGCACTCCCTGAGGGACTCCATGGAGCAGCACCTCCAGCACTTTGTTCCTGAGAAGTAGATGAAGGGGTTGATGCTGCTGTGCATGCAGGCAAACAGGAGAACAACCTGGGGGGACACAGCGGTGTAGCTTCCCTCCTGATTAAAAACACTCTTCCAAGTGGGACATTCTCCAAATGCTTTCCCTCTCTCAGCAGGTTTCTACCATTCCTCCTTTATCTACCCTGGGGGGTCATTGTCCCTCCAGCAGCAGAGAGCTGCTGGTGCTGCTGGTGGCACTGGAATGCTGGCAGTGCTGGAAGTGCTCACAGCCCTGTGCAAGCATCTGGGTGCTTCTCAGAAACAACTGCCATGCTGGGAAGAGGTCCGGGATCATTGCCAAAACCTTCCCTGGCCCCAAAAAAAAAACTGAGCTGAGAATTCCCATTTCTGTCATTGCAATGCAGGCACACACAGCCCAAGGGAAGGGCAGCACTCAGTTGCTTGCAGCCAGGTCATCAGCACTTAGAGCCCACCCTAATTACTGCCAATCCCCTTGATGATGCAATGAAAGCTATTAGGGAGCAGATTTTGGGGTTTTGTGATCCTCTTTCCAGCCCTTCATTAGAGCTCATCCTCCTCCCCCTCAGACATGGGAGCTCTTGTGTTTGTTTTTACCTGACCCCACCGCTCAGGGCAACCTTTGCCAAGGGCTCACCATTCTCACAGGGAAGGATTTCTTCCCAATATCCAATCTGACCCCACACCCTGTCAGTGGGAAGCCATTCCTCCTTGTCCTGTCACTCCATGCCCATGTACAAAGTCCTGTCTCCACCTCTCCTGGAGCCTCATTATCTCCTGGATCATGGAGTGTTTGCCCTTGAAAGGATTGGGCTGGTGGGAGATGTGAGATTCCATAGCTGGGGACACAAACATGGTGTCAGCAGGGAAGAGAGGGAACAGTTCTGGTCCCAGGGCCACCACACATGCCAGTTTCCGGGAGGAGCATCCCAGATCCCTGAGGCACATGTCAGCCTGGGTAGGAATCATCTCACCTCACCTTTCTGGATATTGCTTGGAATTCACTGTAGGCTGCTGAATGACTGCCAAGGGAGTGTAGAAGATGACTCAGAGGAAACCTGCAACTTTCTAAGGATTAAAACCAAGAGAGCAGCATGGATTTGCCTCTTCTCAGAAGAAATGACATTGCTCAAATCCCAAATCATCCCTCTGCTGTGTGCCAGAGTTCCAGCTTATGCTCAGAATTTATTATTACATGAATATCTTAGAAACGGTGTGGTGAAGGTCCAGTACCACTGAATTTGGGGTATGCAAGCGGGAAAACAAGATTTGAACGAGAAATCAAAGTTTAACAGGACATTTGTAGTGCAGGGGCCTAAGGATCCACCCCTGGAAAGAGAGGGGCAAGTTCAGTCTGTTCAAAAGAGAAGATTTTGGGATTGGGTTGCTTTAAAACAGAAGAGAAGCTGACAAGGAGACAAACTGCTTTGGCCACAGGTCTGGCTGCTGAGGCTCTCTCCTGTTCCTCATGTCCTGGGCAGAGTGAAGAGCAGATGAGGAGCAGAGCCCTGATGCCGTGGCAGGCTCTGAAGCCGTTCCCTGCTTGTGAGAGCCCTGGAGCACACGAGCCAGCAGGGAGAACAGGGGCTGTGGCAGGAGCTGGGACAGAGCCCGCGCCGGACGCTGCTCGGGCTCACCCCGCGGGCTTCGCTCCCCTTTCCCAAGGGACCATTGCAGGGACCCTCCTGAAGATCCCACCCCAGGGACAGCAGCTGGAGTGTGGGAGGTGAGGCGAGTGCTCTGCGGGGAAGTTCTCCAGGCTGCCAGAGGGAACAAGGGCAGACTCTTTCACCTCCATCGGTGCCCCCTCACTGGGTGTGCGGTGGCTTTGCACGGGAGGCATCTACAGGAGTGGTGTCAATTTCTGTGTAACTGACAATCTGCAGCGCTGCTGGGAAAGCTGTATATGGCTCTGTGAAAAAGACAAGTTAAAGATGAAAAATCTCGGGAAGCTCTTTCTCTTCTGGCCGGCTCAGAGCTAACAGCGCTGGGCCCGGGGCCGGGCCCCCTTCCCGGGGCTCCCGGCGGGCCCGGCCTCCCCCGTCAGCGCCAGGCCGGGCCGGGGAGGCCGCAGAGCCGAGGCTGAGCTGAGCCGTGCCTGCCGCTGTCGGGTCTTGCTGAGCCTGGCCTCTGCCTTAGCCCGAGCCCGTGCAGGGCCGGGCCCCGGGAGCAGCCCCGGGCCGGAGATTCGCCCATCAACTCCTCCCCTGTGTCCCAGCTCCCCCAAGCACCGAGCCCGGCCTGACCATCGACAAGCCTTAAGCACGATACTAACTCGTTCAGTGCCTCAGTCCTCCCTCGAGTGGGAGAGAGGAACAAGGTAGGGGCATGTAAAAAAGCAACATAAAAACATCAAAGGCAATAAAGGAGAATTGAAGTCGCAGAGGAGAGGGATAAGGAGATAGCTTGATCTTAAGGCTGAAATCCTCTTGTAAAGTTATAAGGAAAAGACTCTGTTTCCCTATAACACATGGAAACATGAAGAGATGAAGAGTTCAAATTCATATAGAAAAAAAGCCTCCATACCAAAGGAAGCACATGTTAAAACAATTGTGATCCTATGAGAAGTTTGAACAGAAAAAGAGGGAAAAGTAGGTCTGTACAGACCCAGACAAAAAAAGAAAAAAAAAATTTTGTTCCTAGAAATGTAGATGATTTTAAAAGATAGATAATGAGAACTTTAAACAACTCATCTTTAAAACAGTACCCCATAAGTTAACATAACCCATAAACACGACTGTGAAAAAAAACTGTAGAAAATAAGAGAGGCTTCACGATTACAGATTTCCATGAATGTCTATAATTTGTGAAAAAACCAAGAACCACGAGATAAGTATTTTTCTTGCAGAGAAGTCTCCATAACATTAACAAGAGAGACTTCTCTCCCAATGTGAAGTAAAGAAACACTATTCTAGAAGTATTAAACTGACTAAAATTTTGTTTCTTTACATCGTCAGTAAGAAAGAAAAAGTGTAAGGGGAAGTGTCCTGAAAGTTTAATTCTGATTCTTACTACTCTTTCTTTTAATTACTATTGATAACCTTTTCTTTATACCTTTTTAAAGTATTAAACCTACTTTACCTTTCTCCTAATCCTACCTCACAACAAGAAGTGAATACACCAGTGATTCACCAACTCTAAATGAACCACGCTCATTAGGATGTTAGCTAAAAAATCTCAAAATTACCGAAATCTCAAACTGACAAACCCAAACCACTACAGGGAGGAACCTGGTTATTGGTTTTGGAGGCAGAATTGAGGTCTGTAGGGAATTAAAGCTATACATACTGTGGGAAAAGGGAGGGAATATTGAACTGAGTGTCCTGCTGAAGGAATCCAGCAGCTCAGTGATATCAGCTGACACCTGAGAGTCCAGGTCAGATCCATCCCAAAGCCATTTGCTCTCTGGTATCTCCATGGGCAATCCTCTCCTTCTCCAGTTGTTTTCCTCCTCCAGCTCTGTTGTTTCAGCAGCCAGGAAGGAGGTGTTTCCCTGGCTTTTGTGCCAGGCACTCCAGACCAGGCTCCCACATCCTACTTGCCATCTGTCCTGTCCCTCACCCATCCCTGTGCTGCTCCACATGGAAGCTGTGGGTGGGAAAAGATGGGAAAAGCCACGTTTGGGGGACAGCAGCGTTGCTCTGGTGTCTCTGTTTGTCACCCCTCCTGCTGTGTGAGGGGAGGAGAAGCAGCAGAGGTGTCACCATGAGCGCTTTGTCCCCTGCCACGGAGGGAGCCAGCCCTGCCTGCTGGAGCCAGCCCGGTGGGAAGGCATCCAAGGGGAGCTGGAATGAGGAGAGCCACGACAACTGCACCGAGGGTGACAACAGGCACTGGAGCAAAGTGCCTGTCACGCTGCTGCTGCTGCTGTGCCTGTGTGCAGGGGTGGGAGCGGGGCTGTGCTCTGGCTCCTGGGCCAAGAGCAGTGCCCAGCCTGTGATTTACTCCTGGCTGGGAGCTGGATGTTGTACATTGGAAAACTTCTGCTTTCCAATGGACAGGACAATGGGAGAGAGAGGGAGAGAAACCCTCTCAGATGACAAAGTCTCTCTCTTCAGTAAATTATTAACAACTCTGGTAATAAATGCTCCTTAGCTGTTTAACCTCATGTGTATCTCCAAAGCCTGACTCACAACCAAGAGCTTTCACTCTCACTTCCCTTTCCAGAAGCAGTGGCACGTTGCTTTCCCCTGGATTTAAGGCAGTGGGAAAGGAGGGACAACTTCCCCCTGAGCAAGAGATGTGGCTGCTGCCCAGGTCTCTCCCAAGAGGCATGAGGAGCTCTTGGCACTGCCAACATCATCCCAACCATTGCAGGCACGTGCCTTAGGAAGGGCTCTGGTATGAGACAGGAACCTGCCCTGCTCACAGACAAGCCAGAGGCTTTAGAATGGGATAAAATAAGGAAATGAGCCATTCTGGGCACTGTTTAACAGGCACAGGCTCTGCAGTGATGCCTGGTTGTTGTTTATTCAACAAATTCAGAGGCTGGGACTATCACAGTGGAAAGAAACAAAAACCATGAATCCAAATCTGACTGAGGGGTAGTTACAAAATGGCAAAGATCAGCACAGCCTGGACTGTGGCTGAAGCTGCTGTGCAGTCGCTGTTCAGCTCCTCCTGAGGGTGGCCAGGTCCAGGATGGAGCTGGTCAAGGGCTTCCCTGGACACTGATGCTGGGGAACCAGAGGAGGGATGGCCCCGTTCTGCAGAAGAGCAGCAGAACCCCTAATTTCTGTGCAATTAAATGGTCCAAGCATCTGGTTATGGGGATTCCCATATTCCATGTACTTTCTAGATACAGGTACAAGGGATCAGTGGATTTCACTATCAAACCTGCACTTGACTCGCTATGATCACTAACAAATGTGAGGAATTCCCACTGAAAGGACAAGGGAATGTTGCTGTCCCTCCCCAGCTCTGCAGCCCTACCTGGTGTCCCTTCCCATCAGCTGGGAATGCAGGGCTGGCTCTGCTGGACAGAAGGGGAAGGATGCTGTGTGTGATCCCAACCCCTCTCCTGCCATCCAGAGGCGCCAGCCCCGCAGGGATTTGGGAAATGACCACCACCCCGTGCTGGGTGTGTCCCCAGGGATTAAGGTGTCCCATGCTTTGCAGGCAAGAGCTCCCTGAAAACACCATGAAACTCATCTGCTGAGCCAAAGGAGATGGAGTTCATTCCCTAGGGCTGAGGCCATGAGGGTCATTCCATGGGGAATAGAGCTGGGGAACAGCACTGAGCCCAGCTGCACTGCTTGGGGCCATGTGGATCCAGGAGAGAGGAAGAAGGCCATGCTGCATTGTGCTCCCTGCAGAGCATCCCATAAAAATCACCCAAGGCAATGCCCCTGATCCCTTCTCCTGCAGGAATACACCAAAACAGGGAGAGCGATCCTGTGGATATTTATTCATCAGGTTACTCAAGGAAATCTTCAGCCATGGTCCTAGGGTCCCTCAGCAGTGCAGTGGGAGGAATCAACAGTCTCAGACCCCCGTGTCCCTGGTGGCCTTTTTTCTGCGTGCACTTTTCTTTTTCTGCTCCTCAAAAACCCTCTGGAGAGAGAGTCGGAGGGACCCCATGGAGCAGGGCCTCCAGCACCTCCCTGCCAAGAAGTAGATGAAGGGTTTGATGCTGCTGTGGAGGCAGGTGAGCAGGAAAACAACCTGGGAGGGCACAACGATGTAACCGAGATCCTGCAGGAAATTCCAGAGGCTGAGGAGGAGAGTGAGGAGCACAATGATGAAGATAACAATGTCGCGCCTCTTGGGTTGCTGCTGCTGGGAGCCCCACTTGGCCTTAATGAAATAGATTGTGCTGGAAATGAGCACGGGTGCAGCAAAGAGGAGCAGGACGATGGTGTTCATGGAGATGAGAGCTGCCCTGCAGTGCTCCTGCTCGTGTGAAGGGCACAGGAATATCACTGCTGGCATGACAGTGAAGAGAGCAAAGAAGGCCCAGTATTGGACACTGCCCACCACCAACCACAGGCGCTTGGGAAGGTCACGTTGGCAGCAGAGCTTCCAGAGCCTGTACATGTACAGCACAGGGCTGCTGTCCGGCAGCCGGAACAGCGCATAGTAGTAGGAGACCACTGACAGCTGGAAAAGGAAACGCAGGTAGAGCAGGGGCAGGATAGGAGAGCAGGACACGTCCTCCACCAGGAAGAGCAGGGCCGAGGGGACCACAAAGAGGAGGAAGAGGAAGTCAATGACAGCCAGGTCAAAGATGCCAGCGTTACGGATTTTCAGGCTGAGGAGGCCGATGACAGCCCCGTTCCCAGCCAGCCCACAGAGGCCAATGAGCAGAGTCACACTGTGTATGGCCACGGTGGTGACATCTGTCTCACACAGATCATCTCCTTCAGTGAGTGAGGTGGGAGATGGGAACACGGTGGTCACCTCCATGGATGGATGCTGGGCAGGCAGTGGGATGTGGCTCCTGGCTGTGGTCAGAGTGGAAAGGCAGACAGTGGGTGGAGAATCCAGGAATGGACCATGTGGCTCCTCAGCAGCTCCCTGCAGTGGGAAGGAAACAGTGGGGAGGAGTGAGATGTGCAGGGGAGGAGGGCAGCAGAAATTGTGTGGTAGGAGAGGGAGGCAGTAAGATTGGGCTGTTCCACAGGGGATGTGAAAGGGAAGCTCAGGGCAGAGGAGGGGGAGCTGGGGAGGGCACTGTGGTCACCGGGAGAGGGTGGCAGGAACAGAGCCGCTGCTGCAGGAGAGGAAGGTGGGGTAGGGAGGAAGGAAACCATTCCACTGACCTGTTCCCTGTGGGGCAGCAGCAGGCAAAGGGGTCTGTGCAGATCAGCGGCGCTTCCTGGTACCTCTTGCTGCTTTGGGATCCATGTCCTAAAGCGGCTCCTGGCAGGTCAGTGACATGAAGGAGAAAGTGCCCAGATCACCAGGAGCTCCCCATTCCCATCCCACAGGCTCACTCTGTGCCCTGTCCTGCCATTGTTTTGCCAGGCTCGGCGGGGGAGTCGGAAATTGCATCTTTGTCTATGTCAGAATTTCACTTCCTGGGAGTTATTTGTCTTGAACTTTTTTTCTGGCCATAGAGGAAGTAGCTC